TTTGGTCACAAATTAACAATTTAATTAGCCATTTATTATTTTTTGGTTACAAATTATTTTACGATAGCAATTCAAAAATTTTGCAGTTCACAGTTTGTTTATCGATCACAAATCAAAAAATTAATTAATCACAGATTAATTTTTATTCACAACTTATCAAATTATTGGTTACAACTTATTTTTCGGTTACAAAACAAAAATTTTATAGGTCACAAATAAAAAAATTTATCGGTCACAGATCACAAATATTATAGGTTATAAGTTATTACAAGTCACAAATTATTAATTTTTTAGGCCACACATTATTTCTTGGTCATATATTGTTTAATGGTCACAGATTAATAAATTCACTGGTTATAATCAACCAAATAATCTGTGACCACCACCAACACTTACGACCACCACTTTAACTCTGCCTTCAATAGCACCACCACCACATTGATCACAACTTTCAATCAACCAATAAAATTGTCAAAAACACCCACACTCCAAAGCACCAACCCACCACCAACCATCAGCAACGCAACCCACCACCATTGCGGTGAGCGCTGCACGGATAGAGCCACTGGGGTACTGCACACTGGCCTATACCACCACCGCACTGCAACGACCAGATCTACCACCACGTCTACCACTATAAAGATGTCACCACACAAAACACCACCCAAAATCACCACCACATAAACACCACCCAAAACAGCCACCTCACAAAAACTATCACCACTACTACACAAAACCACACCCAAAATCGCCACTACATAAACACCACCCAAAGCAGCCACCTCACAGACACTATCACCACCACCACACAAAACACCACAACCACCACCACAAAATCTCCATCATACAAAACACCATAAACACACCCAATTTCAGAACCAAAACCAGTGGCCGTGCCACCACCATCACACAAAAACCAACAAAATTGTTGCCCAACCACTAACAAAATCAACGCCAACACCATAACCACCAACAAACCCTCAGATATGGCGTTCTAAATATCTATTTAACTAATTTTCGGCAAGGGTTCCGGTAAGAATGGAGTCGACACTGCTGTTAGATCTGGAGATCACGATCCCGGTGTGTGCAGCTACTGGTATGGTGTTTTACCTCGTGCAGTGGTTCCTTCTTTCAATTGTGAATGTCTTGCCAGAACATGTCGGGGTTGTGTCTTTGGGAAGCAAAAACAGCAAGGATGGTTGATCGAGGAAGAAAAAGGCAACAACGCAGCTTCCTGCTGCAGCGGCCGATGACGGGCAATGTTGGTGCGAGGCATCTTGACAGCGGAAGTAGAGACTATGGCAAGAAGGTTGCGTCGTCCCCGGAGGGGAGAGAGACGAGCGATGGAGAGGGAAGAGATGGGTAGTGATGGCTAGGTAGTGGGTAGGGTTTCTATTTTTTTGGTAATTAGTTTATTTAAATAATTACTAAAAAAATCTAATTTCTTAAATATCAAACTACCAACCTGATTCAGGAATTTTGAATAATTAAAGTATGGTTTTGTATAATTTTCACTTAATTTTGAACTTAATTTTAAGATAACATTTATACACAATTAATTATATACGTTGACCCGGCAAATTAATAATTCCCCAACAAGAAAAACTTACAAAATTCAATTTTTATTCATAAACAGTTCACCACCTTTGATTTCTTAGTTTGCCCCATTTTAAAAGAATACAATTCTGCTTATTTAATTCTTACCAACCATGGGGAACACAATTAATGAAAGGCTCAACTACAGAATTAAAATAAAGGAAAGAAAATACAAAAGGGCATCAGATCCTCTATGATCTTTGCACTAAATCCTCGCACCAATATTCGTGTTAATTGGTAGCTAAATCTGCTTCTCAATCCTTGCATCAGTACTCAATTCTCATATGAAACGTCCAAGACTACCTGCTGGAAAAAATAAAAATAAAAATTCTGTAAGTTGTAAAAATTAACTTAGCAAAATTAGAAAAAAAAATGCAAAATTCGATAATATGCCTAATTCAACAATCCAAAGGCGTTCAAAATATTGACTATCATGAATATTACTTGCAGTTTTCGACTTTCAAGTTTGCTAGAGTCCGAACTCCGGCCTCATTAAAATAAGTACTTTTCAGATCACCTTATACACCATAAACACGAAGGTCGGACGTATTAGTCGAAATATCAGCTCGGACCAATGACAACCGTAATCTACAAACACATTATGATGATTAAATCCCTACCACTCTGTCATGCCTTTGCTCGACACTCGTGGAAGGGCACTTGGCAACCCTAACATCAACACCTTCTTTTCGACCAATCAACTACAAGCAATAATTATACAACGTTAGACCATCATTACTTGATAGCATAGCTGAAGTCTAGGCATAATGTGGCCCGATGAAGCTGGCAGCAGCAACCAATCATATCAGCTAAAATTAGGATAAGTGGCAGCATTTCTAGGATGTTATTGCAGTTGAAAAGACTTAAGTCGGCCAAGTAGTATGATCTCCCCTCCTATATATAGGAATCAATAGTCGCCTTCAAAGGCGGAGCTCAGATTCATCCACAATAATATTATACTTCCTCAAATACTTACTTATGGTATACTAAGCATGTGTTTCACTTCAATATCACTAGCAATAAACACTTATTTTTACCTTTAAATTGGTCAAGAAATTTCTTTACAGTTTTTGACATCAACAAGGCTAAGATATTTTGGAAAAAAATAAGTAGGAGATTTGGCCTAAATCTCTAACCGAATACATGAAGGAGGCGTTGAGTGTAAAACGGATAATATATTAAGTTGTAGAGCCTAACTATTGCCGATTCTAATTATTGCCACTCCGAAGAGTTGGTTTCAAATTGACATTCGCGGTAAGGTCATGCGTGGAGGTTGGAAGGGGGCAGGCGACACCCATTTTGAAGCACACAGACAAAAATTTTAGTTAAGGATTGTTTAGGAATTTGTATTCTTGTAAAATCCTGTAAAGGAATAGGAGTTCTTGTAAAATTCAATTTTGCCCTTATTTATCTTATAAATAGGGAGCAATTCTTAAGCATTATACGTTATCATCAAATAAGAGAACCAGAGGTTGGAGGAGATAAGATTGATATTTTCTCTTGTAAACATGTTTTCATCATAGTGAATTACTACAGCGGTGGAAGATGACGTAATTTGACATTGAAGTGAACCTTTATAAATTTTGCGTGCTCTTGATTTTTAATTTTCTTTCTTTAAATTGATTGCTCTTGGTTGGGTAAAATCATGATTTCTAATTCTCAACATAATATTTGAAGTAGATATATTTCCATTACAAAAGAGTAAAAGAAAACGAAATGCCGGAGATAGGGTTTCTGCCTTTGAAACTACTGCTGGAGATACTATTGCTTTACCATAATATCCCAAAGGCAAATTGGGAATTTTTTTACTGAATATAACATATATATTAGAATAAACAAAAATAATATATGCAGGAAAAAAATTTGACAAGTAAATCCGATATAGGAACAAAAACTAAGATTTGAGTAAATACAATATCCTTAAAACAGATTCCCCTCTCACTGTTAGTGCTTGTAATTTGTTGAATGTCCGTCTTTCAAGATATAATAAAAAAATTAGTAGAAAATGAGCACTACGAAAAACTAACTACATTTACATTAATTACATATTGATATGAGCCAACTGCATCGCTCATTAGATGGTTAAAGATATGGCTAAGACATACATCCACACGTGAAGTGTGTCGACCTGAAATAGAAGAATCATGTAACAACAGGTATTTTGATAAAGACTGATCATACACTGCATTTAATGATGAGATGGTAGCAATTAGTACATAATACAACTGGCAACAGTACAATCCAAATGAACTCCTTTTTTTTTTTTTTTTTAGTTGACAATTCTTACAAGGTTTATTTCAAATGAGAGGACATACCTGAATCAGCATCGAAGGACTACCAAAAATCCCAATGGAATTAAAGACAGCATAAACCAGAAATTCAGTATGGGAACTGCAAATACATACCTTTTTCTAAATTGAGGCCCCGTTTGGTGGCTATTTTTTTTCAAAATATATTTTTTCTATCTTTTTTTCAACCAGACATTTTTTATTAAAATAATATTATATGTAAATAAAAAACTTTTCCTTATTTTTCAATCATACATTTCACATCAATTTACTATTCTAAAATGTATTTTTACATAAAAATGACTATGAAACACCCCCTTAGGTATGTACTCAATTTAGTAGGGGTGGATTAATGAGCATAGAAAATCGATTGAATATCAAAAAGTTCTTGATTCTTGAATAAAATTTTGGATACCTAACCCTGAAATCGAATTTGTCCTTTTATAAGTTATTAATTTCTTACAATTTATTCATTCCAATCCGATAACCCGATCTAATAAGTAACAAGTTCACGAGGCTCAACAAACTGCAAGTCTGCTAGATCCAAATAATAAATATCCTAATCAATTAAAACCATTCTTTTGTACAATTAAATCATATCATTCTTGCTAGTGGCTACTCTTGATAGCACTTTACATGATGTCACCCCCACGAACTCAACTTGACGTGCTGCTCGCAAATTCATAAAAGGAATTGAATGTTATTATGCTAGATATTGCATGTCATAAATATTGGATGGTATTCGATCACATATTTGCAGCAGTCAAAAAATTGTTGAGAAGTTTGTTCGAGTTCAGGTCCAATGTTTACGTGAGCTCGAATTCGTCTATTTACGAAGGAAAAAGATGGAGTTACATGGACCTAGTTCACAAGCCCTTGCCAGATGATAGAGGAGGTGGGGGCAGACCCCACCTATTTTTTTTAATTGCTGTTGGACCCGACCCCCTACAGTGAGAGGGCATGTACAGCCCCTGTGAATCGAGCTCCTGTACATGGAGCTTGATCCATTTACGAAATACCCAAAGTGCAATGAGTGATTTCGGATAATGAAATACCCAAACTAACCCACTCGATACCCAAAACTACAATTTAGCACTTAATTAGAAGAAGCTGATGTAAAATGCACAAACTAATAGTTTAACTTCACTAGTTCATTGAAAATGCTATATGTTACAAGTTTTCGAATACAGGCCAAATGCCAGATCCTTTACCACGATTAGAGAGCCCTGTACTAGATGTCTCTGTGACCATCTTACGGATAACTAATTATCATTTGCTCATTTACATTTCTAACGAATTGTAATGCCATCTAGTCTAGTTCCACAAGCCCCACCAAAAAGAAAGCTTAGGTAGCAACTATTTGAAACTTGCTCGCGGAACTTCGACAATTAATTTCGTACATGTCCAAGCAAATAAAAGAACAAAATATCCACATACCAATGAAGCAAAACAATCATGCTACATGTACAACTTAGTTTACATCAATTTTGATGTCATGTGAGTTGACAAATTTTTATACATCGATTTTAACAATGCATTTTTCAAACGATGACCAGAGGAAGGGTTGGAACAGTTTGGTGATGTAATAACCATGGAGGAGGGTCCCTTTGGAGAAAGAGTAAAAACCATGTGGGAACCTGGGAACCAACAAGGGCACAACCTGCGATTTACCTTCACTAGTCACTGAGGGGCCGGGGGCTAGAGGTCCAGGATTTAGTCCGGCTAAACTGGGACACCTGGATTATCAAAAAAAAAAAAAAAAGTGCTATCAATAATACCTGGATATCCAAAAAAAAAAACAAAATAGAGTGCCATCAATAAAGCTGTCTTTAAAGCAAAGAATCATTTTTGATGTACGCGGTCTAGAACACTCACAAAGGGGTCAGTGGCGTGGATATATTATGCAATTTTTTACACATATAGGGTGGGCCCCATTTGAGTATTCTGTGAAGAATTTATTTTGCGCGCAGAGACTAAGTCCAAAGCAAAAAGGAGATGCTCAATCCATTTATACAGAAATGGTAAAGGGGCCCCTTTTTTCGACTTTGACTCACTTTAGTTGTCGATTGATTTTCTTCCCGCTGTTTCGAAAGCAGTTGTTTCAGCTGCAACCACTAGAATTTTTTATATTCCTCTTTATTTCTCATCAAACAAATCATAGTTATTCTTAACATGAAATTGGAAAATTATTGTTATAACTTTTCACTCGAACAGGTAATTTTTTCCCCTGAACGAAGATAGAACGACGCTAGTCATAACTATCGCTTTCAGGCATATCAAAAACACCACTATACATGCAAGTTTAAATTCAATTCAGGACAAGACTACGAAGAAATGAAACAAACATTAAAAGCAAAATGCACGGTCTTCCATTTGTATTCTTAACGAACAAGACGTACAGTTGTCGAAATATCTATATCACTTTCAAGTGCTGATATTCAGGTTAAACATCAAACCAATAAGATCTGTCAATCAATTAAATATTCATGTAATTCCTACTCCAAACAAGAAAATATCAAATTACCCAGCCAAATTTTTCAATATTTTCACCAAAAACAAGAATACCGATTCTAGATTCTTTCCTTTGATGTATTTGATTTGGCAGGAAATCTGAAACTACCAAATCAAATTTGTCTCTAAAAAGAAAACAGATTTATCACTCAAATTAAATGCTCATTAATTATTTTACCAAGATCCAGCTATACACCATCACAGTTGACAAATTAATTATTAAATCCAGACCTATCACAGAGCAAATCAATTACCGATCAATTGGAATCCAATAAGCGTGTCACATATAAACATTCACCGCGGCCTCCGATTCAGTTGATGCAAGGCAGGAACATGATTTTCGCCAAAAACAACGACATCATTTACAAGCATAAGGTAGACATTTGTATTCACAAATTTCGGATCGCTCGTCGACGTGAAAACGACGCCGTAATAAGCGAACAATGTTCCCGACCTGCACCAAGCGAATCTGAGACCACTGCAACAAAAAGATATACAAATTTATGTATTATACGGTACCTATAGAATTAGATCTGAGAAAAAGAAACAGAGAGAAACTGAGATTTTATGGGCGTGTGAATATGTGAGAGAGGTGATTTAGGGAAGCTAGGTTGGTTGAATATTTATAGTTGGAATAAACGCAGGAGATGTTGCCACGTGTCAGTATCAGATAAGGCCGCAATAATAGTTGAGAAAGTTAGGGTGAAAAAGAGGCAGCACGCATACTGTGAAAAGTAGTCTTGGATTTGTATTTAATTACGGGATTTGCCATTCGGGAATGGATCCTTTTCTCTTTTCGCGTGGAGCTACAGGAAAAAGACACGTGCTTTGCTGGTTGGGGAAAAATGGAAGTAGGTTAGGGTAAAAATAATAATAATAATAAATAAATAAATTATAAAAGATAAAAGAAATTAAAAATAAATAGGCAGTGAGGGTTTGGAAAAGAGACGCGTGCTCCATTGTTCCTCGTTCCAATGGGACAATGTCGAGAGGGATGAGTAATTTTATCACGTGGCATTTGACTCCTGATTCATTTTTAAGTGAAGTCGTGACACATTTTAATGTATCGAAAAATGACATTTACGATGAATAATATTACTCAATTTTTATTCGAAGTTATTAAATTTGGACTAAATGTTAATTTCGACTAGACCTTGATATGATGAAACCTCAATTCATTTTAAACGATTAATTCAAATAAAATTAGATGCTCAACATTGACATTCTTTAAATTTTTATACACAAATCATAAAAGATTTCACAATAACTTATTCTTATTTAAGATTCAAATTTCAGCTACTTGATTAAAAATAATAATAATAAAAATGTTTAGTTACACGATCAAAGTGCATCACAAGTCACCAATATTTTTGACCCAATGAACGATAAAGCATGACTTTGTTGTCCTAGTGAACGAATAAGTGTCGTGTTCTCTTATTTTTGAGTTTTCATCGAAAAGATGTCAATGTGATCCACTAGTTATTTTCAATTAAAATCTTTAGACATGTTCAAGTAATGACTAATCATTATTTTGACAATTGGCATTGGGTCATTATCCTATTTCTTCATTCTATTTTATTGAGTGTATAGAATGGCTAAAAATAGCATCCTATTCCCAATAGGTAAATTAAAGAACTCATAGAGGGTCGCGAGCATTTTTAAAAAAGTTCATGTTAGGTAGGACTTTTGATTTTATTTTATTTTTTATTTCAAGAAAAGCTTTTTGAAAAAGCAACTTTAGGCAGGCTTCGTTTAAAAAATTTTCTTGCCCAAAAAAGGATTTTCAAAAAATTATTCAAATACGTAGAAAAGCAGATTCTTAATTTCAGAACGTATTCGGTTTTATTTTATTTTAAATTTTTTTTAAAGCATTGTCATACATGCCCTAAAGATACTGTCAAATAACTTTTCATTTCAAAATACATTTAGAAAATGTACATTTCTTCTTGACGAAATCGAAAGCAAGATCCTTTACTTGGTATTTTGCCTCTTTCTAAAAGGACGAATACTGGTTTGTAGAAAAAGCAAAATGCCCATAAGAAAAGCGATGTTTATCAACAAAGACTGACTTTTTGTTGATCTTTTTTCTTATTAATATTTTTTTATGTTGTATATGTTCCTTTTTTCTCGGTGTAGTACAAGAAAAAATAAACTTTACGACAAAATTTTTTACGACCTAGTGAAAATGCCTAGTCGCGATCGAGCTTTTTCCATCTCGACTGATAGGTGATTAAATGGTAATTATTACGATATTTTAGTAGCTCCAAAAATTATAAATGGAGGAGAGGGCCACCTTTGAATATTATTTACATCTTTTTGACTTTTAATGCGAAGAATATCAAAAGTATGTGCCGAAACAATAAAAGCCAAGAAAGTGTAGGACCAAATATTAATTATTCAGATCTATATAAGTGAAGAATCTCAAGCATAATTATACGGAAAATGCTAGAGTAACTAAAAAATTTTTATTGAAGAGATGACACTCTCTCAAATGCTGTTGATCCCGCTTAAATAAAAAAATAATTTCCTTCCCTATTCTGTCATGGCCTATGTCACGCCATATGTTAGTGTAGCAAAGTCCTAATTATATTGTCTGGTTAATTAAGTCAATCCTTGTTTACATTTTGTGAAAGAGTGAAGTTGCTAGATCTTTGCACATTTTGTTTAAATTTAATCAAGTTTTTGTTTTGCTGTTAATATATGATAGTATTGATCATAACAAACTGACGTTATTCGCATGACTCCACCTCTCAATCTCGAAACATAATGTGACAACAAAATATTTAGCCCTCGTTTTGTAATAATTTTTCACCTTAAAAAATCAATTTTTTGATCGTTATTTTCATTATTTCAACCGTCATTTTTTACTTCCTCACTCACAGTTAGAATCACTTTTCTCTCTAACGGTAATAAAAAAAAAATATCAATTTTCATAATCACTATCGAACATATCTTTAATTTGAATTATTCTCCAAGCACAGGGAAAGTTTCACTAGTTGAGAGCAACATCTCATTTTCTAATGATGTTTTGCCATGATTATTCTGTAAAAGAAATTTGTGCATGTAGCATGATCCATTTAATTTAATTACAACTGAGATGTATTGAATATTCCTGATGTCCAAAATATTGGCATTCGATCCATTTGGATCTTTATCACTACTAATATTATTTTCCAAAGCAATAAATACCAATAAAGATTAGGAAAAATATATTTAAATAATCCCAGCTATGTTAATTAATAAGAATCAGAATAATAAATTCTTCACATAAATATTATATTTACTTAATTCGTCAAAGGCAAAAGGTCAAATATATTCTCTGCTATTGCCTGCTAGATATTGTACATTTTGATTTTAAGCATGTCCATTTCTTAATCTGCAGTGAGTGACATTATTGGTCCCGACAAATGTTGCAATTTAACTTCCAAAACATGTGAAGGAATATTCGTTGGCTGACCATAATCAAGAATATCTAATATTCTATTCATTTTTTTAAGTTATAAGTGTATATTAATTATTAAATTATGAGAATTGAGAAACTTGAATGCAATTAGATTGTCGGCACATTCGAAATAATTTGACCATAAACAACATTTGTGTCACCATATTTAATACAAGGAAAATTTGCAGAACATATTTCAAACATTTGAAAAAAATGCAAATTACATCAAAATCTTTAAATCGTAGCAGATAGCGTTCAAACTTTTGAAAATTTGTATGATAGAAGGAATTTTGGATGATTTCCATCCAAAATCAAATTGTTTACTAGAAAAAAGACTTTAATATAACTTTTAACCAATCTCTCTACCTTTTTTCTAAAAGAAAGAAATAAATAAATAAAAATTATATTTCCTCATCTTATTTTCCACCCCTACAACCGAACCAGATCCAATTCAATCATGCTACATATACCTTAAGTTTGATAGTTTCTTTGATGTCATGTGAGCTGACAAACTTAATTTTAAAAATGCTTTTTTCAATTAATGACAATAATTTCTACACATATGCAAGCTGTCATCGAGCAATGTACAACAGGCATAATTGAATCCAATTGCCAATCCCAACCCTCTACCACCTCGTCACCTCTATTTTAGAAGCGCCAAAAAAAAATATAAATGGAGGAGAGGACCACATTTGAATTTTATTTGCATCTTTTTGACTTTTCATGCTAAGGAAATGCCAAAACAATAAAGCCAAGAAAGAATTGGACCAAATATTTAATTATTCATAGCTATATGCTTAGATTCATGAATGATATTTTCTTTCACAAAGTATAATTATATTGCTTGGATAATTAAGTCAATCCATGTTTAATTTTTATGCAAGTGTGAAGTTGCTAGATCTTGTACACTTAAATTTACATTTCATCAAGTTTCTTTATTTGTTACTAATGAATGACAATATTGATCACAACAAACTAACATTGCTAACACGACTCTTACTCATCTCTCAATATACTACAAAATAAATAAATAAATATATATTTAGTTTGAGGACACATATAATGAGCTAGTTTATGTTTCGTTTTAGCTATAACACAAATACAGAGAATTTGTGAATTTTATCAATACGTTTTCTAGAAAATCGCAGCGGTTGGCTAGAGTTTTATTTATCATCTATATTTATCATGGGAGTTACAAATATACCTATCATGAAAATATTAACAAAATATAAAATTTAATATATATCATGACAACTATGGTTCTTACTTGTACTATAACTTATCATCCCAGCTAGCTAGTAACTTTATAAAGATATTAGAAAATATATAATATTTAACATAATAAAAGAATTATGTAGGTATTATCACTCATAAGAACTGAAAAACAAAAATAATCAGATAAATAACAATTGTGTTATAAATAAGATTCTCTAATTTGCTTAAATCATTCAACACCTAAGGCGATTTAACTTCTACCTCATAATAATAATAAAAAAGTGAAGGAATATTTGGCCGACCCAAAAAGTGAAGGAATAGTTAGCCGACCATAATTACAAAGTTCTATTCAATTTTAGCACCATCTGTATTCAAAATTTGCATCATATTGCAATAAATTAAAAATCATTTTCAATCTATTAAACCAAAAGTTGCACCAAATGAATAATATTTAATCATTTTTTTTAATTTTTTTATTCTTAACAATTTATACAGTTGAAAAAATTATTTATTTATTTAATATACCACTACATAAATAATTGCATTTCATTTACGAAATTATTAAATCCGTTAATAAATTTTAAAAATGTAGTATAATTAATAAAAATATCACAACTAAGAAAATATTAAATCATATTATTAAAAACCAACGTAGTACATTTCGAATCCCGATATTATGATGCGACAAAGTAGACCCAATGTCGTAATTTAATTATGATACGATAAAGTCGATCTAGTGTCGTAAATAATCATGTTTGTAGCATTTTAAAACTTTTTGAGTATTTTTATTTTAATTCATTCCTCGATTATTATTGAGTACAGGATTAAAGTTTATTACAAATAATAATAATAATAATAATAATAATAATAATAATAATAATAATAATAATAATAATAATAATAATAATAATAATAATAATAATAATAATAATAATAATAATAATAATAATAAATATCACTAGCAATAAACACTTATTTTTACCTTTAAATTGGTCAAGAAATTTCTTTACAGTTTTTGACATCAACAAGGCTAAGATATTTTGGAAAAATATAAGTAGGAGATTTGGCCTAAATCTCTAACCGAATACATGAAGGAGGCGTTGAGTGTAAAACGGATAATATATTAAGTTGTAGAGCCTAACTATTGCCGATTCTAATTATTGCCACTCCAAAGAGTTGGTTTCAAATTGACATTCGCGGTAAGGTCATGCGTGGAGGTTGGAAGGGGGCAGGCGACACCCATTTTGAAGCACACAGACAAAAATTTTAGTTAAGGATTGTTTAGGAATTTGTATTCTTGTAAAATCCTGTAAAGGAATAAGAGTTCTTGTAAAATTCAATTTTGCCCTTATTTATCTTATAAATAGGGAGCAATTCTTAAGCATTATACGTTATCATCAAATAAGAGAACCAAAGGTTGGAGGAGATAAGATTGATATTTTCTCTTGTAAACATGTTTTCAATCATAGTGAATTACTACAGCGGTGGAAGATGACGTAATTTGACATTGAGGTGAACCTTTATAAATTTTGCGTGCTCTTGATTTTTAATTTTCTTTCTTTAAATTGATTGCTTTTGGTTGGGTAGAATCATGATTTCTAATTTTCAGCATAATATTTGAAGTAGATATATTTCCATTACGAAAGAGTAAAAGAAAACGAAATGCCGGAGATAGGGTTTCTGCCTTTGAAACTACTGCTGGAGATACTATTGCTTTACCATAATATCCCAAAGGCAAATTGGGAATTTTTTTACTGAATATAACATATATATAAGAATAAACAAAAATAATATATGCAGGAAAAAAATTTGACAAGTAAATCCGATATAGGAACAAAAACTAAGATTTGAGTAAATACAATATCTTTAAAACAGATTCCCCTCTCACTGTTAGTGCTTGTAATTTGTTGAATGTCCGTCTTCCAAGATATAATAAAAAAATTAGTAGAAAATGAGCACTACGAAAAACTAACTACATTTACATTAATTACATATTGATATGAGCCAACTGCATCGCTCATTAGATGGTTAAAGATATGGCTAAGACATACATCCACACGTGAAGTGTGTCGACCTGAAATAGAAGAATCATGTAACAACAGGTATTTTGATAAAGACTGATCATACACTGCATTTAATGATGAGATGGTAGCAATTAGTACATAATACAACTGGCAACAGTACAATCCAAAAGAACTCCTTTTTTTTTTTTTTAGTTGACAATTCTTACAAGGTTTATTTCAAATGAGAGGACATACCTGAATCAGCATCGAAGGACTACCAAAAATCCCAATGGAATTAAAGACAACATAAACCAGAAATTCAGTATGGGAACTGCAAATACCTACCTTTTTCTAAATTGAGGCCCCGTTTGATGGCTATTTTTTTTCAAAATATATTTTTTCTATCTTTTTTTCAATCAGACATTTTTTATTAAAATAATATTATACGTAAATAAAAATTTTTTCCTTATTTTTCAATCATACATTTCACATCAATTTACTATTCTAAAATATATTTTTATATAAAAATGACTATGAAACACCCCTTTAGATATGTACTCAATTTAGTAGGGATAGATTAATGAGCATCGAAAATCGATTGAATATCAAAAAGTTCTTGATTCTTGAATAAAATTTTGGATACCTAACCCTGAAATCGAATTTGTCCTTTTATAAGTTATTAATTTCTTACAATTTATTCATTCCAATCCAATAACCCGATCTAATAAGTAACAAGTTCACGAGGCTCAACAAACTGCGAGTCTGCTAGATCCAAATAATAAATATCCTAATCAATTAAAACCATTCTTTTGTACAATTAAATCATATCATTCTTGCTAGTGGCTACTCTTGATAGCACTTTACATGATGTCACCCCCATGAACTCAACTTGACGTGCTGCTCGCAAATTCATAAAAGGAATTGAATGTTATTATGCTAGATATTGCATGTCATAAATATTGGATGGTATTCGATCAAAGAGTCAAAAAATTGTTGAGATGTTTGTTCGAGTTCAGGTCCAATAATTATGTGAGCTCGAATTCGTCTATTTACGAAGGAAAAAGATGGAGTTACAAGGGCCTAGTTCACAGGCCCTTGCCAGATGATAGAGAAGGTGGGGGCGAATCCCACTCTTTTTTTTTAATTGCTGTTGGACCCGACCCCTTACAGTGAGGGGGCCTGTACAGCCCCGTGAATCGAGCTCCTGTGAATGGAGCTCAGTCCATTTACAAAATACCCGAAGTGCAATGAGTGATTTCGGATAATGAAATACCCAAACTAACCCACTCGATACCCAAAACTACAATTTAGCACTTAATTAGAAGAAGCTGACGTAAAATGCACAAACTAATAGTTTAATTTCACTAGTTCATTGAAAATGCTACATGTTACAAGTTTTCTAATACAGGCCAAATGACAGATCCTTTACCAAGATTAGAAAGCCCTGTACTAGATGTCTCTGTGACCATCTTAGGGATAACTAATTATCATTTGCTCATTTACATTTCTAACGAATTGTAATGCTATCTAGTCTACTTCCACAAACCACACCAAAAAGAAAGCTTAGGTAGCAACTATTTAAACCTTGCTCGCGGAACTTCGACAATTAACTTCGTACATGTCCAAGCAAATAAAATAACAAAATATCCATATACCAATGAAGCAAAACAATCATGCTACATGTACAACTTAGTTTACATCAATTTTGACATCATGTGAATTGACAAATTTTTATACATCAATTTTAACAACACATTTTTCAATCAATGACCAGATTTCATACAAATAAGAGTGCTATCAATGCCCCCAGGGCACATCTCCAAGTGATAAAAGGAGAGGGTGGAGAAATCCAGCTTTGTTTGAGGCTGCTGCATCAAGAGTTCGAATCCTGAAATATGGACTTAGCTCTTAAGTAAGTGCAAGTGTACAAGCAGCCTTCCACCCTGTACCCTTGGAGGCATAACCTGCGATTTACCTCCCTCACGATGCTCCAGAACAGAAGCGATGAAGGACCTTTAAAATTGGGGTTCAACCTTTTTTTTTTTTTAAGAGTGCTACCAATAAAGCTATCTTTAAAGCAAAGAATCATTTTTGGTGTACCCTGTCTAGAACACACACAAGGGGGTCAGTGGGGTGGATATATTTTGCAATTTTTTACACATATGGGGTGGGGCCCATGGGAGTACTCTGTGAAGAATTTATTTTGCACACACAGACTAATTCCAAAGCAAAAAGGAGATGCTCAATCCATTTATACAGAAATGGTAAAGGGGCCCCTTTTTTCGACTTTGACTCACTTTAGTTGTCGATTGATTTTCTTCCCGCTGTTTCGAAAGCAGTTGTTTCAGCTGCAACCACTATAATTTTTGATATTCCTTTTTATTTCTCATCAAACAAATCATAGTTATTCTTAACATGAAATTGGGAAATTATTGTTATAACTTATCACTCGAACGGGTAATTTTTTCCCCTGAACGAAGATAGAACGACGCTAGTCATAACTATCGCTTTCAGGCATATAAAAAACACCACTATACATGCAAGTTTAAATTCAATTCAGGACAAGACTACGAAGAAATGAAACAAACATTAAAGGTGTGTTTGATTACATTTATTTTCCATGGAAAATATTAGTTTTCCATCCAAATTTTCACTTGAAGTGTTTGATTGCTATTTTTTTCCATGAAAAACATTTCCCAACTTTTGAAAATATGCCTAATTTTTCTTGTTATTAAGGAAAATATTTTCCTTGAGTAGAGGTGATTTTTATTTTCCACAAAAGATGGAAAATATTTTCTTTTCTAGGTGATATTTTTCATTTCAATTAAACACATAAGAAAATGCAGAGTCTTCCATTTGTATTCATAACGAACAAGACGTACAGTTATCGAAATATCTGTATCACTTTCGAGTGCTGATATTCAGGTTAAACATCAAACTAATAAGATCTGTCAATCAATTAAATACTCATGTAATTCCTACTCCAAACAAGAAAATATCAAATTACCCAGCCAAATTATCAATTAAAAATAAGTTTTTTTATATATTTTTCGAAAATCAAACATTACAATTTTTCAATATTTTCACCAAAAACACGAATACCGATTCTAGATTCTTTCCTTTGATGTATTTGATTTGGCAGGAAATCTGAAACTACCCAATCAAATTTGTCTCTAAAAAGAAAACAGATTTATCACTCAAATTAAATGCTCATTAATTATTTTACCAAGATCCAGCTATACACCATCACAATTGACAAAATAATTATTAAATCCAGACCTATCACAGAGCAAATCAATTACCGATCAATTGGAATCCAATAAGAACACAGCGTTTCACATATAAACATTCACCGCGGCCTCCGATTCAGTTGATGCAAGGCAGGAACATGATTTTCGCCAAAAACAACGACATCATTTACAAGCATATGGTAGACATTTGTATTCACAAAGTTCGGATCGCTCATCGACGTGAAAACGACGCCGTAGTAAGCGAACAATGTTCCCGACCTGCACCAAGCGAATCTGAGACCACTGCAACAAAAAGATATACAAATTTATGTATTATACGGTACCTATAGAATTAGATCTGAGAAAAAGAAACAGAGAGAAACTGAGATTTTGTAGGCGTGTGAATATGTGAGAGAGGTGATTTGGGTAAGCTAGGATGGTTGATTATTTATAGTTGGAATAAACGCAGGAGATGTTGCCACGTGTCAGTATCAGATAAGGCCGCAATAATAGTTGAGAAAGTTAGGGTGAAAAAGAGGCAGCAGGCATACTGTGAAAAGTAGTCTTGGATTTGTATTTAATTACGGGATTTGCCATTGGGAATGGTTCCCTTTCTCTTTTCGCGTGGAGCTACAGGAATGACACGTGCTTTGTTGGTTGGGGAAAAATGGAAGTAGGTTAGGGTAAAAAAAATAATAATAATAAATAAATTATAAAAGATAAAAGAAATTAAAAATAAATAGGCTGTGAGAGTTTGGAAAAGAGACGTGTGCTCCATTGTTCCTCGTTCCAATGGGACAATGTCAGGAGGGATGAGTAATTTTATCACGTGGCATTTGACTCCTGATTCATTTTTAAGTGAAGTCGAGACGCATTTTAATGTATCGAAAAATGACATTTACAATGAATAATATTACTCAATTTTTATTTGAAGTTATTAAATTTGGACTGAATGTTAATTTCGACTAGACCTTGATATGATGAAACCTCAATTCATTTTAAATGATTAATTCAAATAAAATTAGATGCTCAACATTGAAATTCTTTAAATTTTTATACACAAATCATAAAAGATTTCACAATAACTTATTCTTATTTAAGATTCAAATTTCAGCTACTTGATTAAAAAAAATAATAATAAAAATGTTTAGTTACACGATCAAAGTGCATCACAAGTCACCAATATTTTTGACCCAATGAACGATAAAGCATGACTTTGTTGTCCTAGTGAACGAATAAGTGTCGTGTTCTCTTATTTTTGAGTTTTCATCGAAAAGATGTCAATGTGATCCACTAGTTATTTTCAATTAAAATCTTTAGACATGTTCAAGTAATGACTAATCATTGTTTTGACAATTGGCATTGGGTCATTATCCTATTTCTTCATTCTATTTTATTGAGTGTATAGACTGGCTAAAAATAGCATCCTATTCCCAATAGGTAAATTAAAGAACTCATAGAGGGTCGCGAGCATTTTTTAAAAAGTTCATGTTTGGTAGGACTTTTGATTTTATTTGATTTTTTTATTTCAAGAAAAGCTTTTTGAAAAAGCAACTTTAGGCAGGCTTCGTTTAAAAAATTTTCTTGTCCAAAAAAGGACTTTCAAAAAATTATTCAAATACGTAGAAAAGCAGATTCTTAATTTCAGAACGTATTCGGTTTTATTTTATTTTAATTTTTTTTTAAAGCATTGTCATACATGCCCTAAAGATACTTTCAAATAACTTTTCATTTCAAAATAAATTTAGAAAATGTACATTTCTTCTTGACGAAATCGAAAGCAAGATCCTTTACTTGGTATTTTGCCTCTTTCTAAAAGGACGAATACTGGTTTGTAGAAAAAGCAAAATGCCCATAAGAAAAGCGATGTTTATCAACAAAGACTGACTTTTTGTTGATCTTTTTTCTTATTAATATTTTTTTATGTTGTATTTGTTCCTTTTTTCTCGGTGTAGTACAAGAAAAAATAAACTTTACGACAAATTTTTTTACGACCTAGTGAAAATGCCTAGTCGCGATTGAGCTTTTTCCATTTCGACCGATAGGTGATTAAATGGTAATTATTACGATATTTTAGTAACTCCAAAAATTATAAATGGAGGAGAGGGCCACCTTTGAATATTATTTACATCTTTTTGACTTTTAATGCGAAGAATATCAAAAGTATGTGCCGAAACAATAAAAGCCAAGAAAGAGTAGGACCAAATATTAATTATTCAGATCTATATAAGTGAAGAATCTCAAGCATAATTATACGAAAAATGCAAGAGTAACTGAAAATTTTTAATTGAAGAGATGACACTCTCTCAAATGCTGTTGATCCCGCTTAAATAAAAAAATAATTTCCTCCCCTATTCTGTCATGGCCTATGTCACGCCATATGTTAGTGTAGCAAAGTCCTAATTATATTGTCTGGTTAATTAAGTCAATCCTTGTTTGCATTTTGTGAAAGAGTGAAGTTGCTAGATCTTTGCACATTTTGTTTAAATTTAATCAAGTTTTTGTTTTGCTGTTAATATATGATAGTATTGATCATAACAAACTGACGTTATTCGCATGACTCCACCTCTCAATCTCGAAACATAATGTGACAACAAAATATTTAGCCCTCGTTTTGTAATAATTTTTCACCTTAAAAAATCAATTTTTTGATCGTTATTTTCATTATTTCAACCGTCATTTTTTACTTCCTCACTCACAGTTAGAATCACTTTTCTCTCTAACGGTAATAAAAAAAAAATATCAATTTTCATAATCACTATCGAACATATCTTTAATTTGAATTATTCTCCAAGCACAGGGAAAGTTTCACTAGTTGAGAGCAACATCTCATTTTCTAATGATGTTTTGCCATGATTATTCTGTAAAAGAAATTTGTGCATGTAGCATGATCCATTTAATTTAATTACAACTGAGATGTCGTATTGAATATTCCTGATGTCCAAAATATTGGCATTCGATCCATTTGGATCTTTATCACTACTAATATTATTTTCCAAAGCAATAAATACCAATAAAGATTAGGAAAAATATTTAAATAATCCCAGCTATGTTAATTAATAAGAATCAGAATAATAAATTCTTCACATAAATATTATATTTACTTAATTCGTCAAAGGCAAAAGGTCAAATATATTCTCTGCTATTGCCTGCTAGATATTGTACATTTTGATTTTAAGCATGTCCATTTCTTAATCTGCAGTGAGTGACATTATTGGTCCCGACAAATGTTGCAATTTAACTTCCAAAACATGTGAAGGAATATTCGTTGGCTGACCATAATCAAGAATATCTAATATTCTATTCATTTTTTTAAGTTATAAGTGTATATTAATTATTAAATTATGAGAATTGAGAAACTTGAATGCAATTACATTGTCGGCACATTCGAAATAATTTGACCATAAACAACATTTGTGTCACCATATTTAATACAAGGGAAATTTGCAGAACATATTTCAAACATTTGAAAACGATGCAAATTACATCAAAATCTTTAAATCATAGTAGATAGCGTTCAAACTTTTGAAAATTTGTATGATAGAAGGAATTTTGGACGATTTCCATCCAAAATCAAATTGTTTACTAGAAAAAAGACTTTAATATAACTTTTAACCAATCTCTCGACCTTTTTTCTAAAAGAAAGAAAATAAATAAATAAAATTTATATTTCCTCATCTTATTTTCCACCCCTACAACCGAACCAGGTCCAATTCAATCATGCTACATATACCTTAAGTTTGATAGTTTCTTTGATGTCATGTGAGCTGACAAACTTAATTTTAACAATGCTTTTTTCAATTAATGACAATAATTTCTACACATATGCAAGCTGTCATCGAGCAATGTACAACAGGCATAATTGAATCCAATTGCCAATCCCAACCCTCTGCCACCTCGTCACCTCTATTTTAGAAGCTCCAAAAAAAATATAAATGGAGGACCACATTTGAATTTTATTTGCATCTTTTTGACTTTTAATGCTAAGGAAATGCCAAAACAATAAAGCCAAGAAAGAATTGGACCAAATATTTAATTATTCATAGCTATATGCTTAGATTCATGAATGATATTTTCTTTCACAAAGTATAATTATATTGCTTGGATAATTAAGTCAATCCATGTTTAATTTTTATGAAAGTGTGAAGTTGCTAGATCTTGTACACTTAAATTTACATTTCATCAAGTTTCTTTATTTGTTACTAATGAATGACAATATTGATCACAACAAACTAACATTGCTAACACGACTCTTACTCATCTCTCAATAGACTACAAAATAAATAAATATTAAGTTTGAGGACACCTATAATGAGCTAGTTTATGTTTCGTTTTAGTTATAACACAAATACAGAGAATCTGTGAATTTTATCAATACGTTTTCTAGAAAATCGCAACGGTTGGCTAAAGTTTTATTTATCATCTATACTTATCATGGGAGTTACAAATATAACTATCATGAAAATATTAACAAAATATAAAATTTAATATATATCATGACAACTATAGTTCTTACTTGTACTATAACTTATCATCCCAGCTAGCGAGTAACTTTATAAAGATATTAGAAAATATATAATATTTAACATAATAAAAGAATTATGTAGTTATTATCACTCATAAGAACTGAAAAATAAAAATAATCAGATAAATAACAATTGTGTTATAAATAAGATTCTCTAATTTGCTTAAATCATTCAACACCTAAGGCGATTTAACTTCTACCTCATAATAATAATAAAAAAGTGAAGGAATATTTGGCCGACCCAAAAAGTGAAGGAATAGTTGGCCGACCATAATTACAAATTCCTTTTGAATTTTAACACATCTGCATCAAAATTTGTATCATTTTGCAATAAACTAAAAATCACTATCAATTTATTAAACCAAAAGTTGCACCAAATGAATAATATTTAATCATTTTTTTTTAAATTTTATATTCTTAATAATTTATATAGTTGAAAAAATTATTTATTTATTTAATATACCACTACATAAATAATTACATTTCATTTATGAAAATATTAAATTCTTTAATAAATTTTAAAAATGTAGTATAATTAATAAAAATATCACAACTAAGAAAATATTAAATCATATTATTAAAAAACAACATAGTACATTTCGAATCCCGATATTGTGATACGACAAAGTAAACATAGTGCCGTAATTTAATTATGATACAATAAAGTCGACCTATTGTCGTAAATAATCATGTTTGTAGCATTTTAAAACTTTTTGAATATTTTTATTTTAATTCATTCCTCGATTATTATTGAGTACAGGATTAAAAATTATTACAAATAATAATAATAATAATAATAATAATAATAATAATAATAATAATAATAATAATAATAATAATAAAGTTTATGTATAATGTAAAATAACACAAATACCATTGATATCATTT